CCCCCCCCCCCCCCCCCCGGCCCTGGCACTACCCCTACCCCGCCCATGTTTCCTCACCGATTAGCCTCTACCAGCAAATCTTCTTCCAGTTTCCTCTGCTCCTCTTGGGAGATGGTCTCACCTTTCTTGACCTCTGCCAGGTAATGGCGAATAAAATGGAGCTGAGATCAACAGAAAAGAGTCAGGAAATGAGACTGGAGTATTTCCCGGTGAACGTCTTTTTTCACTATTCTTTTCAAAATAAAATTTTTTTAAAATGTTTATTTCTGAGAAAGAAACAGCATGAGCAGGGGAGGGTCAGAGAGAGAGGGAGACACAGAATCTGAAACAGGCTCCAGGCTCTGAGCTGTCAGCACAGAGCCCGACGCAGGGCGCAAACCCACAAACCATGATATCATGATCTGAGCTGAAGTCGGACACTTAACCGCCTGAGCCCCCCAGGTGCCCTTTTGCTATTCTTTTCAGACATCACCTTCCTCCCTCCTCCTAGGCCAGGCCCCACTCCCCAGCTCCCGGTCCACATACCTGCTGCCCCCGGGTTGGGTAGTGTGCAGGCTGCGCTTTGTAGAAAGGCCACTCGTCGTGAGTATAGTCATAAACCCATTCACAAAAATGGTTCCCAATGTCAAAGCCCCTGGGGGAATAAGGTAGACACTCAGTCCCTAAATACCCTGGGTGGCTGGGATGTAGAGAGGAAGGCCTAGTCTGTTTTCCAGGGTGGTGTGGAAGCAGCCCAACAGAGACCTTTTTTTTTTTAAATTTTATTTTTTTATGTTTTTATTTCTGAGAGAGAGAGAGAGACAGTGTGAGCAGGGGAGGGTCAGAGAGAAAGCAAGATACAGAACGTGAAGCAGGCTCCAGGCTCTGAGCTAGCTGTCAGCAGAGAGCCCAACGCGGGGCTCAAACCACCAACCGTGAGATCACGACCTGAGCCGAAGCCAGATGCTTAATGGACTGAGCCCCCCAGGCGCCCCAGAGACCATTCTCTTAACCCTCACCTGTAGTTGTAACTACTGTATTCAAAGTCGACCAGCATCAGTCTGTCGGTGTTTTCTGGCTCTGAGAGCAACAAGATGTTCCCTGGGAGAAGGGGGTGCAGTTCTGTTCACTCCAGGGTCCTGTGGCCCCCCTTGCCTTAGGTTAGGAGACTCAAGATGCTTTCTCCTACCTTCCTGGATGTCATTGTGACAGAAGACCACTGGTGATGGGGTAGAGTCTAGCAATTTCCTGCAGGGGAACAGGGGCAGTAGGAGTGACTAGAAGAGTGTGTCACGCTCATGGGCCAGGCCCTGACCCAGCCCTTAGTAAATCCTGGGAAAGACCCCATTAGGCGCCTGGCACTGCCTCCTGCGCTCTTCTGTTCTCCCGCTCTGCCACCCCTCACCTCAGGTTGCCCATCTCATCCTTCAGGCTGTACATCTCCAGCAGGTTCATCTGGGGGAGGCCGGTGTAGGGCAGGTCCTGGATCTGCTTTAGGTACCTGAAGCCCAAAGAACAAGATACGCTCGCCGTGTTATCCCTCCCTCCCTCCCCTCCTATCTACCCCTGTCCTGTCACCGCATGATTTGTTTGATGCATTTTTCTGACAGACTTGTCTGCCTTATTTGGAAGCCTGTTCTGGGAGAGACCATGCTAGACACTGTGACCGTGATCCACTCAGCTGGAGGACACATTCAGTTGCTGCCCCGGGTAGTACCTGCCAGCAGTAGGGTTCAGCGCAGGTGTGCAGGAGCCCCGAGGAGCCTCCCGACTCACCGTTCCATGGTCCCAAACAGCCAGCGGGGCTCCTTAGTGAACGGCATCTCCATGCCATGGAACCGTGCCATCTTCGTGGCGATTTCTGCTGACAACACAGGCTCTCGAAGCTCACACGTTTTCAGTGGCCGGCTCTGCACCCAGGAACCTATCAGGGTGGTGAGGGGGCTGGGGCAGGAGGGGGAAGGGGTGGGGGAATGGGGGGAAGTCAGGGACTCGGGGAAATTGCCCTACCTGGGGTAAGGGGTGTGAAGGCACGCACTGAAAAAGGGGGGCAGGGGCTGGGGGGAAGGAGGTGCCTCGGGGAGGTCAGGGCCGGGCTGGGCTCATACTGGGATGTACTGTTCCAGCCGGCCCTCTGGAAAGACTCCATAGAGCTGGGGCCCCAGCGACCGCTCCGCCAGGATGGCGAACATCACACTTTCGAGGACCAAGGAATCCACGCCCTGAAGGAAGATGGACAGCACTGGGGGCACCGCTTCACTTCTCGCTCTGGAGCCCACAGACTCCAGAGCCCGGCCTTGATAGGGTAATTTGCAAGCTGCTCAGCCCTCGCCACGCTTGCCAGGAGGTCCTACACCCACTGGCCGCTGCGGCTCTCGTTCCCTCCTCACCTGCAGGATGGCCCCGTACAGCCGCAGCAGCACCTCGCGGGGCTCCTTGCCGACGCTGGGCAGGTGGTCCGGCAGCGAACAGCGGAAGAGCAGGTTACTGAGGCCTCCGCTGCAGACCCACACCCGGGTGCGCTCAGCCCGCGGTCGGCCGCAGCCGCCACGGGCCCCCTCCCCCTGCCGGGCTTCCCCCGCGTCCGCTCCCGGCCAGGCCGGCCCCGCCCCCGGCCCCGCCCCGCCCCGCGCGCGAGGGGTCGCAGGAAGGCCGAGTGCTAGGGGTCCGAGCTCGACCCCTGACCTCCCACCTCACAGGGTCAACCCTCAGCTGTTCGGGCCGCACTCGGCGCCAGGCCCCGCCCAAGTACTCCCGGCAGCACTGGTAGGCTCGGCGCTCGGCGTCACGCGACAACGACGAGCTGCGCCGCCGGTTCGGAGCCGCGTCTGGGCACTGAGACTGCAGCAAGCCGTCCTTGGCTAGGCGGCCGTCAGCAGCCCCGCCTCCGACCACAGCTGTCCCCTCCGCAGCCATGGCGCGCCTGGGCCAAGCCCAAAGTCCAGTCGCGCTCAGCCCCCTTCGGGCAGACTCGGCTCCTTCCGGCTGCGCTCGGGTCCGCTTCCGGCCAGCCTGCTCTTCTCCGGTCATACTCGGGTCTTTCCGGCTCTTTTCGGCTCTTTGCGGCGGCGCTCGGGTCTCTCCGTGACCCTGATCGGGTACCCATTCAGAAGGCCGAATTCTGCGTGCTCAGGGCGTGTCCCGCCCTTGCTCAGGGCGAAGACCAATGACCTCTCTCTCCGGGCGGGGCCGCTGGAAAGGCAGGCAGCTGTTTGGCCAGCGGCCCGAGCCGAGGAAACGACGTGGGCCAACCAGAAGTGTCGTGAGCAGTTGGGCGCGCTGCCGTGTGCGCGTCGCGAGGGCGGGTCACGTGGGCGGGGCGGTGTGGCCTCGGGCAGCGCGCTGGCTGTTCCGCTGGCGGAGTAGGGTGGGCCGGGTGCTAAAGCGCGGGTGTACCCAGGGAGGTGCCGGTGAACGGAGATGTGCTTTCGCTCGCCTCGGGGAGCGGACGGGGCAGCGCAGGCGGCAGCGGCCCGTCGCTGGATAGATTTGCACCCCAATCCCACCGCCGGGGAAGTCGAGCAAACAGGACAGCCATCGAGCGTCCGATTCTGAGTGGGTCCCACCTGGGATTAAACTCCGTTTAAATCTGAGCCAGTTCTGAGACCTGGAGCCCACTGGTTGAAAGGCAGACTTGGTCCTTCAAGGAAGGATCCCGTGATGCCACCGCAAGCATATGAAAAAAAATCCTCTAATCCTTCCCCAAAGGGACCTAGAGCCGCTTAACAAATAATTTACTTTGGAAAAGGGACTATCCAGGAGCAAAGACACAGGAATAAGAACCCAGGGGTTGGGATATCTCTCACCATCATGCTCAGTGACCCGTTTGTAGGATTTGCACATTCTTTCTCTGCAACATTGAACTCTGCTGGATTTGGCCCCTGGTTCCCAGGTAGGGAGGACTTCCATAAGGGGGCTCCACTGGCTCCATCCCAGGGAGGGAACACTTCCACACCGAGCCTCTGAAAATTCTACAGGATCATTCTGAGCTCCTCATGTTTGTGAACCAGCAGGCAAAGATGGAGGGGATAATTGATCCTGACAATTACGAGGAGATAGGGTTACTGCTACTTAGAGGGCCTTCAAAGTTTGTCTGGTACTTTGAGGATTTATTTTGAGGGTCTGTTTTGTTGTTTCCATGCCAAGTGATAACAGTGAAAAGGCATTTTCAGCAGCCTCAGCCTGCCAAGGGCAAGGGAGTCAAGGGCTCAGAACCCCCAGGAATGAAAGTCTGGGTAACTTCATCAAATGCTGGCTGAGGGTGAGGGAAGTCTAGAATAGGCAGAGAAGGGAGATAATAATGAGTATCAGTTATAGCCTCGGGAGCAGCTGCAATAGTATGGACTATTTTTGTTCTATTAAGTCTTTTGTAGAGGTTGTGACCAGCCTTCACTTCGAAGAATCATGACAAATTGGACTCAATGTGGCATTCAAGTAGATCTGAGGGCTGTAAGAGCTGGTGTCTTGACTAATGGCCTTGGCACACCTTTAATTACAGTGAGTGTACAGAACTGCTGCCCTGGCACCTGCTGTATATCTACACTTTCTGCCTCAGCCCTTCACTGACACCACAGGGGCCCACGTGACCTGCTTAGCAGCACAGCCCAGGTCTCTAGAGGCAACCCTAGGGCCTGGGGACAGGAGGCAGTGGGTGAATAATTGGAGAATCCAAGGAGACATTCTGTATACTTCTCAGGAGGTTCTGGTGAAGTCAAGGTTGTTACCCAGAGTGGTGAACTCAGGAACACTATGGTTTGATTCTTCCTTTCCTGTCTTGTTCACCCCCTCCCTCACTTCTGTTTCATGGGATCACTTTCTGAGCAAAACACTTATACCCAAGTCTTTGTCTTAGGCTCCGCTTTCAGACGTACCCAAAGACACACAATAAAAGAACAAAGATTTTTGCCAATTTATATAAAAAAAAAATACTGGAGAATATGTGTGGGAATGGATTACAATGATACAAAGCCAAGGACAAATTGTAGATTAGTTCAAATTTATTGACGTGAGTGTACTTACTCCAAACAGATTCTAGATTCAGTGTTTTGGCTAAAGCCCTGGGATAAGCACTAACTGTGCTTAGTTGGCTAAATGGAGCCTGGACTCGGCAGTCTGCACTGTGCGAAGGTGAGAATGTGCTGGGGCGGATTTGTCCTGTATCTAACGGCCGTCGGTCTCCTGTCTCTGTTCGTTAATCCATATTGTTGATTTAAAAATGTGTTAGATAGGGGTGCCTGGGTGGCTTAGTCGGTTAAGCGTCCGACTTTCGCTTAGGTCATGATCTCGCGATTCGTGGGTTCGAGCCCCGCGTCGGGCTCTGTGCTGACTGCCAGCTCAGAGCCTGGAGCCTGTTTCAGAGTCTGTGACTCCCTCTCTCTCTGACCCTCCCCTGCTCATGCTGTCTCTCTCTCTCTCTCTCCTAGAAATAAATAAAACATTTAAAAAAAAATGTGTTAGATAGATTATGTCATGAATTTCAAGATGGTGAGGGGCTGTAAAATATTTGACATGTGTTGGATCTGTTACGTCTGTGAACTCTAACTGGTCTCATCTGTGCCCGTGACTCAATTGGCATCCATATGCTTGGTTTGAATAGCAGCTGGCCTCAGCTTAATATTCTTGGGTCACTGTTAGTTTCCTCTTGCCACTGTAACAAATGACCACAACCTTGGTGACTTAAAACAACAGAAATGTATTCTCTCACAATCCTGGAGGCCAGAAGTTTGAAATCAGGGTCACACAGCAGGGCTGCTCTGAGGGAGGGTCCATTCTTTGCCTCTGTGGCCTCTGGTGGCTGCGAGTGCTTCTTAGCACGTGGCCGTCCCACTCCAGGCTCTGCCTCCAGGGTCAACTTTGCTTCCTCCTCTTCTGACTATGTGGTCTCCTTCTGCTTCTCTTATAAGGAAACTTATGATCACATTAGGGCCAACTTGGGAAATCCAGGATCATCTCCTCATCTCAGAGTCTTTAATTTGCTCTCTTCTGTGAAGGTGCTTTTTCCAAATAAGGTCACATTGACAGGTTCTGGGTTAGGATGTGGATGTCCATTGGACACGGTTTTTCCCCCTGTCTGAAAACCAGGGATTCTAAAATTATAGAGGAACAGGAGAATAGATATTGGGGAACAATTGGCAGTTTCTGCCGCAGTGCACTCTTTTGGCCATTCTTGTTATCTGTGCACTCTCCTATGTCTGGAACAAGCTCACTTTATTCCTGAGGGAGACCATTTGTAAAAGTTCCAACAGTTGCAGCATCCAGCTCACAGTTTAGGTTCTCCAAGTTACGTGCAGTTTGTTCAAAAGGGTCTGATGTAGATCTTTGTGGTCCAGTGATTTAAAAATGCAATGATATGTTATTTGTCCTCCCAACATAATCAATATACAATAGTTTATAAATTAAGTGATTTATAAACTGAAAAATATCTGTGTCCCAAATATGCAATGAAAAAGTAATAATAGGATAAAACAATAAAACCTCTGTTTTGAAAAGGCAACATGGGAAACATATAGCAGTCTATTGTCTATGGCAATTTCCCAGTCCTATTAAGCATAAATAATGAAGACCCTTACCCTGGGAGGAGAGAAAGTTCCTTGTTGTGACAGCCCCTGGCTCTGTCCTTTGGGATGTTCTTCCTCGTTTTGTTATGCTTCTTTTTCACATCTGGGGAGGGCACTGAAGAGTATACTCTTGTATACTACACAGCAGGCTACTTGTGTAGAATAACTTGGGGGAGGGACCCTACTGTAGATTTCTGGAACTCTTTCTCTGAGTTGATTCTCTCTCTCTCTCTCCCTCTCTCTCTCTCTCTTTCTTATCTGAAAATTCCAAATACCTTGGCTTCTGCAAGCTCTGACTGTGTCTTCTAAACTCATCAGGACTGCCACACTATGATTAGACCCTCCTTCGTGCAGCCTGGAAGTTCCTCCATATGGAAAAATGAGGGCAATCGTAGGCTTTATGCCATTGATTCCCTTTATCTTAGGGAACACAGTCATGTGCTATCCTTTGTCCAATGTCTGAAAATAGTTGCTCCCTATATTTTGTTCAATTTTCTGGGGTTTCCTACCTACCCCCTTTGGCAGGAAGACAAGCCTGATAGTTATTCCACAATGGCTGGACACCATTTAAAAAATAATTAATATTTCTTTTTAAAAATCATAAATAATTGTTGAATGTTATAAAATCCATATCTATTGAGATTCTCATGCCAATTTCCTCTTAGTCTATGAATGTATTGGATTACCATTGGAAGTGAAAGTGAGATATTGAGCCATCCTTGGATTTCTGGGTTAAGATCAGAATACATTTGCAAATATAAACTGTTGAGTTTCATTATCTAGTATTTTGTTGGGATATTTGTATATATGCTTAGAAGTGAAATAGATGTATAATCCATTAATTATCTTGAGCTAGTCTTACATGTTGTAGTTTCTTTTCATAAAATGAATGCAGATGTACTATGGCAAGCTAGATTCCTAAATAGAACTTCCTGATGAAAATGTTTTGAGGCTTTTTTTTTTTTTTTTTTTTTTAAGTTAGAAAACAGAGAGCACGTGAAAACAGGAGAGGGGCAGAAGGAGAGGAAGAGAGAGAATCTTAAGCAGGTTCCATGCCCAGCATGGAGCCCAATGTGGGGCTCAATCTCATGGCCTGAGCTGAAATCAAGAGTCAGAACTTAACTATCTGAGCCACCCAGGTGCCCCATAAAATGAATGATAAACCAAAAAATAACAAGTGTTGGCAAGGAAGTGGAGAAAAAGAAATCTTCATGTATTGTTTGTGAGAATGCAAACTGGTACAGCCTACAGTATGTAGGTTCCTCAAAAAAATAAAGATAGAAATACCATATGATCCACTAATTAATGCTGAGTATTTACCCAAAGAAAACAAAAACACCAATTCAAAAAGATATATGCACCTATATGTTTATTGCAGCATTATTTAGAATAGCCAAGATATGGAAGGAGCCAATGTCCAATGATAGATGAATGGATAACAAAGAAGTGATATATACACATATATTTTATACACATATACATGTAAAATATATTAAATACATATGCATACACATATAATGGATTATTACTCAGCAATAAAAAAGAATGAGATCTGCCATTTGTGACAACATGGATGGCCCTAGAGGGTATTATTCTAAGTGAAATAAATCAGAGACACATACCATATGATTTCATTTATATGTGGAATCTAAAAATTAAATAAACAAAAACCAAACAGATCCATAAGTACAGAGAACAAACTGATGGGTGAAGGGGAGTGAGAGAAACAGGGAATAAAAGGTACAGCATAGGGAATACAGCCAGTGGCATTGTAACAGCATTGTGTGACGACAGATGGTGAGCACAGCACAATGCACAGACTAGTCCAGTCTCTGTGTTGTACACCTGAAACTAATGTAACATTATATGTCAACTACTTCAATAAAAGAGTGTAGGACAAATTCTTTTCTTAAAAAGTGTTTTAAAAAATCATTGATGATCTAGTAAGAAAATAAGGAACTAAGTAAGATGGGAGGCCAGAGGGGCAGTGGAGCACGACATGCTGCCTTTGATCAGAAGCATTTGGTGAGCAGAGAGAACTTGGATTTGGGGTTTTTTAGTATATGCTATAAATAAGTAGTTAAATAGTATCCTCCTCTCAATGCATACCCACCCAGAAAATCAGAATGTGACTTTATTGGGGCACCTTGCTGGCTCAGTCAGTAGAGTATGCAACTCTTGATATCAAGGTCATGAGTCCAAGCTTCCTCCTTGGGCATGGAGCCTACAAAAAAAAAAAAAAAAAAAAAAAAAAAAAAAAAAAAAAAAAAAAAAAAAAAAAAAAAGTACCCTTATTTAGAAATAGTGTCTCTGCAGATAAAATTAGTTAAAATATAGTCACATTGGATTAGGGTGGGCCCTAATCTGATTACTGGTATCCTTATAATAAGAGGGAAATTTGGGTGCCTGTGGCTCAGTCATTAAGCATCTGACCTCGGCTCAGGTCATGATCTCACAGTTTGTGAGTTCGAGTCCTGCTTTGGGTGAGCTTGTGCCCTGCTTCAGGTGAGTTTGAGCTCCGCTTTGGGTGAGTCCTGCTTCTCTCTCTCTCCCTCTCTCTCTCTACCCTTGCTCACTTGTGCCCTATCTCTCTCAATAAAAAAAAATTTTTTTAAATAGAAACTATCTTAAAAATAGGGAAATTTGGACTCAGACACAAAAACCCTAGGAGAGAAGGTCCTGAGACAATGTAGGCAGAGATCGGAGAGATGCATTTACAAACCAGGGAGCTGGCAACCACCAGAAGCTGGGAAGAGGCAAGGGAGGGCCCTGTCCCAGAGCCTTTGGAGGGAGTCTGGCCCTGCTGACATGTTGAGTTGGGGCTTCTAGCCTCCAGAAATACGAGAGAACACATTTCTGTTGTTGGAAGCCACCAACTTTGTGATACTTTTTCATGGCAGCCCTAGAAAATGAATATGTACCCTTTGAAATGTAGAAGACAGAGACAAATCAGGGTCTGTTAAGGAGGAGAATTTAATAGGAAACCAATCTTCTGCAAACCTTGGACCTTAAGGAGTTAAACCCTCAGTATTAGGGCGAATTAGAAAAATACTCTGTCCTTTGGGGATTGCAAAGAAAACTGTTTCAAATCTGGGTAAAGTGAAGTGTGTGTGTGTGTGTGTGTGTGTGCGCGCGCACACACACGCGTGTATGTGCAAGAGAGAGACAGATGAGAGACAGAGATGCTGACAACTTAGAACAAGAAGCCGTCCCTCATATAGATTGGCAATTCAAGTTCATATGGTCAGGGTGGTCCAAGAACCTTTCAATTGGACATTGAATATAGAGTGACCTCAGGTTGCTAATGCCTGGTAGAAGCAAATACAAACTCTCTTTGATGGTTTCTACCTCCTCCTAGGCCACAAAGTTTCCCAGGAATGCAATCCCAAGTCTAACAAGCATCCCTAAGTTAAAACAAAAAAGTAATGAAGCAACAAGATAATGAGAGATCATGAGAGCAAATCAGCAGTAACCACAGACAGGATGCTTCAGGTGATGGAATTATCAAATGTGTTATAAAAGACCCATGTTTGGGGTGCCTGGGTGGCTCAGTCAGTTGGGTGGCTGACTTTGGCTCAGGTCATGATCTCACGGTTCGTGAGTTCGAGCCCCGCATCGGGCTCTGTGCTGACAGCTAGCTCAGAGCCCAGAGCCTGTTTCAGTCTGTGTCTCCCTCTCTCTCTGACCCCCCCCCCCCGCCCACTTCTCGCGCTGTCTCTCTCTCTCAGAAATAAATTTAAAAACGTTAAAAAATGGGGACGCCTGGGTGGCTTAGTCGGTTAAGCGTCCGACTTTTGCTTGGGTCATGATCTCGCGGTTCGTGGGTTCGAGCCCCGCGTCGGGCTCTGTGCTGACTGCCAGCTCAGAGCCTGGAGCCTGTTTCAGAGTCTGTGTCTCCCTCTCTCTCTGACCCTCCCCTGTTCACGCTCTCTCTCTCCTAGAAATAAATAAATTAAAAAAAAAAACACGTTAAAAAATGTTTTAAAAAGGCCCACGTTCAATATAATTTAAGTAATAAATGATAAGGCTGAAAACGTGTGGAGACTGAGAAACTATGAAGAATAAACAAAGTTTTTGAAAAGAAGTTTCAGACGGAAGTTCTAAAATGAAAGTTCTAATTTAGTTTATGTTTTACTTGAATTTTAATTTCAAGTAAATGTAACTTGGGGTACAGCTTGAATAACAACAGATAATAAACAACTGAAGAGAGAATGCATGAACTAAGAAATAAGAATCAATTATCCTGGGGCGCCTGGGTGGCTTAGTCGGTTAAGTGTCCGACTTTCGCTTAGGTCATGATCTCGCGGTTCGTGGGTTCGAGCCCCGCGTCGGGCTCTGTGCTGACTGCCAGCTCAGAGCCTGGAGCCTATTTCAGAGTCTGTATCTCCCTCTCTCTCTGACCCTCCCCTGTTCACGCTCTCTCTCTCCTAGAAAAAAAAATCAATTATCCTGAATATTGCCTGGAAGATGTATAGGCATTAGGAACCACAGAGGCTAGAATGAGAAGGTCCACAGGGCCCAAGTAGGGCCCCCGGAAGAGGAAATGGGGGAGGCTATATTCAAGGACATGTTGGCTGTGAAATTTCCAAACTGGGGAGACTATATGGAGAAATCTATACAGTTAAGAGACTCAGGAGGCACCTGGGTGGCTTAGTCGGTTAAGTGTCCAATTTTTGATCTTGGCTCAGGTCATGATCTCATGATTCATGAGTTTGAGCCCCATGTTGGGCTCTGAACTGACAGCCTGAAGCCTGCTCAGGATTCTCTGTCTCCCTCTCTCAGCCCCTTCCCTTCTCACTCTCTCTGCCTCTCTCTCTCTCTCTCTCAAAAATTAATAAACATTAAAAAAAGGTCAGTAAACGTCAGGCAGACAAAAACAGAAAAACAAATGGACACCTGGATCCGCTGTATTGAAACTTCAGAAGCCCAAAGACAAAGGAGAAGGTCCTAAATGCAGCTGGAGAGGAAAGAGAAGTGGTCTTCACGAGAATGGCAGACGGAGAAATGACTTCTCGCGGCAACAAGGCAATTCAGAAGAAGACAGCAGAATGATACCTTTGAGATACTGGTGGTAAATAATTACCTGACATAGATTTCTATATCCAGTAAAGTGAATTTTTCGGAGTTAGGACAGAATAAAGACTTTCCTAGACAAATGGAGAATTTACTGCACAGAGCTCTCAAAAAAGAAAATTCTAAAAAATGTATGTCAGGCAAAAGAAAAGGGTATACAGAAAGTCTGAGGTACAAAGAAGAAAGAAGAACACAGAAAAAGGTAAACATTTGGGTAAATCTAGTAAATGTTGACTATTTAAAGCAAAAAAATAATAATTCCTTGTATGTCTCTAAAAGGAAAATTAAAATGTACAATAGAATTTAATTGGGACTGCAGTGAATCCAGTTAGAGTCTTCTAGGATGCCGGACTCCAGCTCCAGCCAGGTCCAGGGGTCCCTGAAGGATGGATGGTGTCAGCGAGGGAGGGATGAGAGGCGCGAGATTCTTTCTGGTCACCAGCCAGGCCTCTCTGCACTGTCTGAGACTCAACTTTATTTTAAGATTTAGTGTTTGGGGGACGGCACAGGAGTGGCATTTGATGATGATAAATCCTTTCATCAGTAAAGACTGAACATTGATAGGCAAAAGGATGGGGAACAGCCCAGAGGTGGTATTAGCATAGTAAAGGCAAAAGTTAGTTCTTGTGAGCAGGGGTCAACAGCCTCCTCATCACTTAATGGGAGGTAATAAGAAAAACAGGTCTTTCAGGAACACAATGTTGCTCCCATAACCACAAAAGAAGAAGTTCCTTCACAAAGTACAATCAGCATATCAAAGCCAGAATGAGTCACTCCTAATATCAATTAACAAGGTGACTTGGGGGTCAGTACCCAAGCCGAAATAATTGGGTGAGATAATTGGGTGCGGGTGGATATAGGGGTCGCCATCTGACAGTAAGAGTCCGTGCAACTTACCTTAACCTCATAAGGAGTTCTTAATCTATGAGTTCAGAAAACGGTTCCCAACACTAGGATCTTTATATTGTTCAGGAAGAGGGTAGAAACAGCCATTAACTTTAGGCTTTGTTACATTTAAGTAGGTGTCATAAGTAAGAGGGTGACTTAGATCAGATTCTTTCAAAAATAGTGGCTGGAACAAGGGTTCAGAGGCAAGTAGTTTATTTGGAGGTACAAGAAATGAAGGTGATGGAGTGGGAGGGGGAGGCAGGGAAGAGCAAAGGGGGCATCATGCCAGTGGCCTGGTCCTTATTATCTAACCTGTAGTCTGTGCTGCAGGATTGATAAAGCCAATTTTTGTCAACCGAATAAGGTAATTATGCTGGAATTTCCAGGGTAACAAGTTTGTGGATGGAAAAGGCCTTGTACATCTCCACTCTGAGCCTCCCACAACCTTTCAGGACCTCTCCTGGGTCAGGCCGACCACTGTCTAGTGAGTCTTTGGGAAGGACTGGGGAAACTTGAGAAGCCATTCTCACCAAATATTCCCCAGCCTGATATTTCCTGGAATGCTTTGCTAGGGATGTTCCCTTTGCACTCATTGCAGCAAATGGGAAGGTCTCTGAGATTTATGTTATCAAGGCTCCAGTGTAGTTCTGTGTGGGGTGATGATACTGATCCAGTGAGAAGACTCATGTGAAAACATACAGTCCTCTTCCGTGTTCAATTTTTTTTAAGTAAAAAAAATTTTAATGCTTATTTATTTTTGAGAGAGAGTGAATGAGTGAGGGAGGAGCAGAAAGAGAGGGAGACACAGAATCTGAAGAAGGTTCCAAGTTGTCAGTCAGCATGGTGCCTGATGCGGGGTTCGAACTCACAAACCATGAGATCATGACCCGAGGTGACGCTTAACCGACTGAGCCACCCAGGTGCCCCTCTTCTGTATTCAATTTTTATATAACTGTCTTTAGGTGTCTTACTTTGTATGAAGAAATGTTTTAAGACAGTGAGGTTTCAGAGATTGTTGCTATTTCCTAAGAGTAATAATCCCTTAAAAAACTTCAACTCTGATGCATTGTCATAACCATTTTCCTCATTGGTATAAATCTGTTTTTTATTTCTTTTTCTTTTTAATATTTTTTTATTTATTTCTAGGAGAGAGAGAGAGAGACAGCATGAGCAGGGGAGGGTCAGAGAGAGAGGGAGACACAGACTCTGAAATAGGCTCCAGGCTCTGAGCTGGCAATCAGCACAGAGCCCGACGCGGGGCTCGAACCCACGAACCGCGAGATCATGACCCAAGCGAAAGTCGGACACTTAACCGACTAAGCCACCCAGGCACCCCTAAATCTGTTTTCTGAAAGTTATAACTATTTGTGAGATTCTTTTCTTAAATAGAAGAAGGGTATTCTTTTACTGCCTTTTCCTTGAAGGCATAACAATATTGTAAACCCCATAACTTTGGATTCCTTGCTTATTCCTAGATTATGCTTGTTTGCTGATAGAAATGATCCAGAAGAGAAGGAGATATTGATGATGCAAGAGAGAAGAGCTTGAATGGCAATGACAACAGTGAGAGGGTCACCAGACTGGAGATCTATGGTTTTAGAACATGGCCCCCAATTCCTTGACATTCCTCCTACTGAGAGTTGGGTCTATGACCTCTCTCTTGAATCTGGAGAGTCTTGGGACTACTTTGACCAATAGGTATGAAAGTCATATGGCAGAAATGATGCCATATGACTTTCAAAGCTAGGTCAGGAAAGGCCATGCAGCTTCTGCTGGGCCCTCCTCGGATACTCACTCTGGAGGAAGCCAGCCATCTTGTAAAAAGTCCAGTTACCCTGAGACTATACCATGCCAGAGAGGCCAGGTGTAGGTGCTGGTTGACAGCCCCAGCTAAGCTCTCAGTCAACAGTCAATATCAACTGCCAGCCTTGTGAGTGAGCCATCTTGGATATCCAGGCCAGATGATCTCTGACTGTAACCACACAATACCAAAAGCCCCAGACAAGGACTTTCAAATCCCAAAATTATGACTGCAAAACTGTAAGCAGAATAAAATTTTTTTAATCCACTAAACTTTGTGATAACTTTATACACGGCAATAGTAATTGGAACAGGCTTCTTATTGTGTCAAAGAATTGTGGATGTCATAGTGATAATAGTAAGAAAGCAAGAAAATAGGAGGTGTTGGTCATAGAACTGGATGCTTAAAATCAAAATTCAGGAGGTGGTGAAGTTATTGGTTATGACAGCATTCCCCATAACGTGAAGCTCTTAAGCTTTTCATCCTTATTATAGATTTCTGTTCATATTTTCAGCCATTAGCATTTTTAGTTTTTTTTGTGGGACTTCTATGGTATATGAACAGACTAAAGCAGATTAGTTTGCATGTACTTTTTTCCCAATCTATGAGAAAATTGTCAGAAAATGTCCTATGACTTTTTGGAATTGATCTGTGATGAGGATTGCTGAAACTGTGTTGCTCTTTCAATTTTCCCACATAAGTCCAGTCAATTTTGTGCTTTGTAGTAACTGTCCATACCATTCGTGGGCCATAGAGCAAACCGAATTATTAAAGTGGTAGAGCTGCTTAAGGGAACAAAAAGGAGTCTGGAAGGGTGCTGACAATGGGTGGTCAGGAAGGCAAGACAAAAACCAATAGTGCATGGGGCCCACAGGCTGAGGGAAGAAAACATTTCAAGGAGGGATTGGTCAGCTATCTCTCTGGATCTCAGTTATTTCATCCATATAAGGATGCTGTGTGGACCACATGAGGGGACACGTGTAGATCTAATGAAATGTAGGAGATATAAGGAGCATAAACCCCACCAGGAGATTTTGCCTTTTCATCAATGTATCCCTGAGATGGAAAGAGCGGAGCCCTGAGGGTTTGGGATGAAATGGGTCCCAGGGTGAGGAGCAGGGAGAGGAGGAGCATCAAATGGTCATGATTAGGAGCCAGGGCTCCATGCCTGGAGGTTTACATGTGTTACCTCATGTGATCCTCATAGTATCAGTGTGTAGATGAAGAAACTGGGTGCATAGAGTTGAGTAACTTTGCCATGTTTAGAGAATTGATGGCAAGATAAAGATTGTACCACAATCTCTCAGACCCTAAGTCTGGTCTTAAGACCTTCCATTTTTGCTCTGAGGACAGATAGAAGACTTCACAGGTAAAATTAGGAGTGGGAGCCCCAACTTCATGACGTTTACACTCCTGGAATCTGTAGCCATATAATCTGATAAGTAGGAGGGAAGTAAGGGAGAGGCTTGAAGAGGATCGTAGGAGTGATCATTTGAGATGGAATTTAGAAATATAAGGCTTCAAAGTTAGTGCAATTCCAGGCAGAAGTAAATCTTGAGGCTCTTTATGGGAGAGGTCACTAGAGTTGAAAGAGTTGAAGACAGTTGACTTATCAGAAGCCAAGGAACTGTTTTGGGGCACCTGGGTGGCTCAGTCGGCTAAGCATCTGGCTTCGGCTCAGGTCATGATCTCACAGTTCGTGGGTTCAGGCCCCGTGTCGGGCTCTGTGCTGACAGCTCACAGCCTGGAGCCTGCTTCTGATTCTGTGTCTCCCTCTCTCTCTGACCCTCCCTTGCTCATGCTGCCTCTCTCTCTCTGATATAAATAAAACGTTAAAAGAAAAAAAAAAAAAGGAAGCCAAGGAACTGTCTTACCAGGGTGTTGTTGGATGGGTCATTTATGTGGATGTCCAGTTTCATGACAAGGCAAAATTGAAAGGAAGTCTGTGAAGTTGGGGTAAAGACTGCTTGTGAATTCCAGGGAATTTTGTGGGGGAAAGTCATGGAATTGTTAATATGTCTGGACTCCTTGAACCTCAGAAATGGGGAATGTTCTTAGTGCTCCTAAAATTGAAAAGACAGCATGGCGACAAGGACTTAATGCCCCGTTTATGGAGTGGTGAAGTCCATAAGCCTTCTCATTCATTCGTTTGTTCACTCACATAGTTGCTGAGCACATGCTGTGTTCCAGGCCCTGTGTTTGGAGTTTGGAGGTTCAGAAAGAGATAAGATAGTGTCTCTGCTCTCCTGCAGTTCTCATCCATTATGGAGGACAACATAAACTATTAAGTACCATTCTTATAAAAAATACCATAATTGGGACAAAATGTAAATTGTGATTGGGCACAAAAGCGGGCACAATCTACCCTTGGCCATAGGCCTTCTTTCCCAAAGAATGATGTTGCCCTTCCCGACTTGCAAGAGCTCCTTCTGCCTTGTGGTTTCCAGACATTAATCATTCAAGCACCACATCCTTCCCACAGAAATAATTTAGACAAAGAAATGTCAGTGCACATAATTTCCATCAAGGAGGGAAAAGGATAATTTCATGGCACTCTTGTTGAAACTCCAGCTTCCTTCTTTAGCCAAATCTTCTCCACAATGTGTCCCTAAACTGCCCCTCCAACCTGTCTTTGTCCACTGTACTCATAACACTGATCTGCCTTCCCCCTGACCCAACACCTGCTGACCCTGACCTAATCTAACTCCTTGAGCTCCATTTCAACCACTGCTCTCCCCACGCAGCTCCACATCAAGCCAGAACACGTCAGTATCCTGAACAATGCCAATCACATAGTTGGTGCTCAGGAAGTAGTTTTTCTAACGGAATGAACATAGCCTCAGGGTTATCACCCAGTGCCCATCAGTACCTCGGTCCAGTCTGCGTAGTCTGTACTGTGTCCTGAAAGTTCAGTTTTAGCCCCAATCAGCATCCTCTGTGTGATTAACTTCGAATCCAGCCATCTCAGCATCCCTTGGTCAGATGTCTCTGTCCAGCACCGATCAGCAACATTTGGGAGAGCAACTCCTTCAGCTCTGATCAGCTCCCTTTGGGGAAATAGCTCCTCCAGCCCCAGTCAGCACGCTTTAGGGAGACATCTCCGGCGGCCCAATCAGCACCCTTTGTGGGACAGCTCCAACCAGCCCTGATCAGCACCCAGAGGCGGACAGCTCCTCCGGCCCCTCAGGACCCGCAGCCAGCCCAGCCTAGGTCTCCAGCCCCTCAGACCTAGGCCTGGGGCCCCAACTCTTCTGATTCCTCGGGACGTCAGCGCAGCTCCGGGTGCGGACCCGCGCCTCCACGAGCCCCTCCCCCCAATCCAGCCCCCCAGGTAACCAGAGGTCTGTGGACCCAGACCTTCCTCCACCTTCCCTCCGCAGGGTTCTCATTTAAAGGTCTCACCGTGTCTCCCCGTCCGCAGACCCTCCTGTACATGGACCTGACCCCCCACCCCCGCCGGTCCGCTTCTCACCTGCCCTCCCCGAATAAAACCCCAAACCCGATCGTTCCCGAATCAGAGCCTCTCAGTCAAACCATCTTCTCTCCTCCAACCAGCTTCCCCGCCAGCCCCCTCCCTCCCTCCGCGGCCCCCTCCCTCCTCTCCGGATCCTCCCGCCCCTCCCCTCCCCCTGCGGCGCGGCCGCTCGCCTGCCGCGGTGTCCTGGCAGGGTGTCGAGGTGTGTGGCGGGCGGGGTGTCGCAGGGCGTGTCACGAGGTGACTCGGGGAGGGCTGAGGACCGACGGAGGGAGCGGCGGAGGGCGTGCGGGGCCGTCGCTCCGCGCACCCCTCCCCCCGCCGCAGTCGGCAGGCCTTTCCCCGGAGAAGATGGCGGATCGGGCGGAGATGTTTTCTCTTTCCACCTTTCACTCGCTGTCGCCGCCAGGCTGCAGGTACGCACTCCGGCGCCCCGGGCCTCGACCTCCTGCAGCCCCTGCCCCGACCCTTCCCCAGCCTCCTCCGACCCGGGCCTGCCATCCCACCCCCATCGTCTCCGGGGACCCAAGCCCCAGTCCCCTGTCTGGTCATAAGGCCTCTGACTCCTGTACCCCATCCTCCTTCCCTTTCAGGGTGTTTTTGTCCTCCCCTCCTCCCCCTTCTCCAGGCCTAACGCCTCCCGCTCCCGTATCCGCTGGGACCCTGTGCCGCACCCAGCTGGGGCAGCTGACCCCTCAAGGGTGGAGGACTGGGGCTGAGCCTCCGAGGGGCAGCCTGTCTGGGCAGAACGCTGAGCCACCCTCTGTGCTTAGCAGTGTCCTTTTGGCCTTGTTGGGCCTCTCCCGGTGAAGGCCTGTCTTGGCCTGTAGGGCTCCGGAAGGGAGAGAGTTGAAATCAAGCCTGGAGCCCTGGGGGAAGGGACTGAGGTGGGGAGAGGGTTGGACCTTTGGGTGTAGACCTGCCTGGGGCAGAATGGGGAGACAAAGTGGCTAGATTCTTCTCTCAGAGCAGGGCTACCTGAGCCCCCGCCCCCACTTCTGCTGCTGCAGCTTCAGCTCCCCCTTCCCCCCTCCCCCCACGCTGCTCAGACTGACTCCCCCGGGGCTGAAGCTGTGACCCAGAGGGGCCTGCAGCTGGGAGGAGAGAGGAGGAGGGGGTGGGGAAGATTGGGGGGGACAGGTGGCTCCTCTGGATTGGTCATGGCTCGGATTGTAGGGGGATCCACTGAAGAGCAGAGCTTGGGGTTCAAGGTGATGGCAGGATGTGGATCTGAGAGTTGGGGTTTCTGGAGACCATGGGGCCTAGCAGCTGGGGTTCCTCCTTAGGACCGGCCTCCAGGCAGGGAGGGAGTCCAGGGGTGGTGGCTCCCTCAGGAACCCTGTCCTTGCTCTCTGACCCTGGTCCCCTCCCCAGGCCCCCCCAGGACATAAGCCTGGAAGAATTTGACGATGAGGACCTGTCTGAGATCACCGATGACTGTGGCCTGGGCCTCAGCTATGACTCGGACCACTGCGAGAAGGTGGGAAATGGGCTGGGGGTGTGGAACCCTGTTAAGGGAGAGCCTCACTTGGAGTTTTAGGGTGGGTCTGCGCTCAGCCTTAAAATACAAAATCCTCTGATTGCCCCCTCCCTTTTGGCAGCCTGCCCAGAGTCTTCCTTGGTATCAAACCTCTCTTTTTCCTCAGACTGTATGCCCTCCACAGAGGGCTGTCCCTAGCATTCCTCGCCTGACCCCTGTCACTGGGCTAGCTTGGGGGAGGGGACGTGGGCCTATGGTTTGGATGCCTTCTGACTTTCTAGGAAGATCTAACCCCTTCCAACTGCCATCTTCTTCCT